GCGATTTGCGCAGCGCGTGGCAGGGTTGTTCTGATCCTCCTCTTTCAGGGAAATGCATGCTGATCTCTCTCCGCACGCCCAGAACGAGGCAGGTTGATCTGTACGAGTAAGCTGGCGGTCTGGAGATGGAGGACCCCAGGGACCTGTGAATCCAGATTGATTGCAATCCAAGGGCACGCATGCATGGACATGGGGGAGGTTGTCCCGGTACCGGGGCAATAAAGGCCGAACGAGCTTGGGGATTCAGCTCTTATGGGACGTCATTGACTCAATAATTCTCAAACATTCGTCTGCTTCGAAGAGACGCCACAAGGAGGAGCGAATTGACATGCCACATGCTTTGACCCCCGCAAAATGGTTTTCCCTCTCCACAAACAAATATGGGGGATCAACCCCTTTTCCCACCCAGCCTCGGTATCTCGACCTCCCCCGCGGGGGAAGAGGGACTTTCTACTCGGCAGTATAGAACCAAATCTCCAAGGCAGTTTGCAGTAATTGGTTTCCGGATATCCGTATTGCCGTCTAGCCAGGTAGGTAAGCTGAGCATCAACGTCTCCTGACCTGGTTTCTTTCCATGTCTCGATATATATATCTTATCGTCCAAGCCTAGCTTACTCGCTCTGCTTCGTGCGGGAAACTCCGAGATATCTCTTCTTCGTCGAGGATCCCGCTTATCTCTCGTTAATACGACCATCGGTTTCCTCCCGCGGGGGCGGCATTAAATCGACGGGTGTCCGGTTAATGAACTTGCGCCCTTCCAGACGACAGGCTAGTGATAAAAGATTGAGCAAATACCTTGGGCGTTTTTCCACCCTTGTGAAAGGACGACGAATCCATCATTAAGGCTGAAGAACAGAAGATCATAGTGTTTCCCTTTTGCCTTCTCGCCCCTAAGTGACCGTGGACGATGCCTCACGCCACAGATACCGAGTACCACTACATCGGGCTGAAGCAGCTCGGCCCGACGTTTGCAGCTGAGGTCACTGGGGTGGATTTCTCCAAGCCTGTTGAGAAGGACGTATTTGATGAAATCCGTCGAGCCATTGTCGACGTATGTCCATTCCCCCCTCATGCCATTCCAACAGCGGGATTCATCATCAGTTTTTTAATGCCGACGATATACTCTCCCCTCAGCTTCGGCACTGTTGATAAACTGACGTGATATTCATAGTATGGAGTGCTCGTTTTCCGCAATGCCGGTCTCGACGATGCACGACATGTTGCCTTCTCCGCCCTCTTTGGCGAACTAGACGACGTCAAGCCATATCTGACTTTAGGTCGCAAGAATCGCTTCCCGTTTGATGAGCTGTTCGACGTCTCGAACCAAGAGGACGACGGGCAACTTGTCAAAATTGGAAGTAAACGTCATCACATGGGTCTGGTAAGCAGGAACAATCCATCTGGGCCATTTTGCCATTTCTCCCCAAATGTCCAGAGCATGGGTCAGTATACTTACCTTCCTACCTGTTAACAGGGCAATTCGATCTTTCACGTCGACTCGAGTTTCAACCCCCGACGAGCCGGCTATAGTCTCCTTCGCGCCCACCAGCTCCCCCCCAGGGGCCACGGCGGCAACACCGACTTCGCCGACACGCGAACCGCCTTTGACGAGCTTCCCGAAGACCTGCGCCGCGACCTGCTCGAGAACGAGTATATTGGGGCGCACAGCCTGATGCATTCGCGGAAGAAAGCCGCGCCCAAGGACAGCCCGTGGCTGAAGGACGTGAACCCAGAAGAGTTTCCCTTTGGGCGGCACGACGTGGTCCAGACGCACCGGCCCAGCGGACGGCGCAACCTCTACATCGCCAACCACATGCACCACCTCGAGTACAAGACGCCCCGGTCGGCTGACTTTGTGCCCACGCCGACGCAGCCGTTTGAACGGGTTCCCGAGCCGCAGGGCACGGAGCTCATCGAGAGACTGCTCGCGCACGCCGCGCAGCCCAAGTACGTCGTCAGCGTCGAGTGGGAGAACGAGGGCGACCTGGTCGTCTGGGACAACACCTGCGTCATGCACAAGGCCGGCGAGGGCACGTTTATGGAGAAATTCGCCCGCGATATGAGGAGGTGTACGGTGCACGATGGCAGCGTGGATGCATGGGGCCATAACGAGCGGACGACCAAGAGGATGGGGTTGCCGTGAGCTGGACAAACCTCCTTTTGTACCGTCTTTTCAATATTTTGTATTGATTGATTGTAAGCTTGTGACTTACCTACAGTAGATAGTGGTAGCGTGCAGCCTCTTTTCCGGTGTTATTGTTGCTTTCACGCAATATCACTCCTCTCCCTGTTCAGACTCGCACTGAGAGAGACATGATGTAAGAGACCACATTTTCTCATACACACCATACCTAGCACATCAAGACATCAATATATCATATATACATCTTCATCTTCGAGGTGAACAAGCAACAATCTCTGGACCCCGGAATTCTGCTAAATTCACAAGTACCACGAGGCAATCAAAACATTTCCCGACACCGCCGAAAACACCACGTGTAAAGCAGGACTTTCGGTATATCCTCCCACCTCTCCCCACTCGGGTTTCAGATCAATAGCCGAACACCAAAACCCAACGGAAAACCGCCGGTCGTGCGAATCAGGTTTCCCCATCAAAAAGGTCCCCTTGTGGGGCTGTTTCGCCTTCTCCATTGGAGTTATTTGTACGAAGGGTCAACTACTCGGTGTTAATTACACGGTTCAGCAGTTGGCTGGTGTTTCGCCTCCGTTGTCGGCGTTGACTGTTCCTCCATCTATCCATCCATACATACATCGGTTTAAGCGTGCACGGGCGGTGGCCGTGATTGACCTTGGGGGAGCTCCTCTTGTCCAGGCAGTGTATAATACCACATAGAAACAAAGCCCAAAAAGAGAGAGAGAGGGAGAGAAGATCGAAAGAAAACACCCGAGTGTGCCTGGCTCCATGACCCTCCTCGCAGGGCCCGCGGGCTCTCAAAGAGCGATGATTGTTGCGCGATGCTTTATATCGGTGGCTCCGTCATCGCGGTCGTTACGGCCCTTGTCGTCGACAGCTCTGATATCTCTTGCTCCGAGGACGCAGGTCAAGAAGCGGTACTTCAGCGCCAAATCGAGCCGGAGGGAACGACAAGAGGCCGTCTCGGCACAACCACGACGACAAGCGCCCGTCGTTGATCGAGGGGCGTCCAAGGTCTTCAAGAGCGCAGACGATGCCATTGCCGATGTCCCCGATGGCGTCACCGTTCTGAGTGCAGGTTTTGGACTGTGCGGCGTAGCAGGTGCGTGCGTTGTCGTCATCATCCTCGTCATCATCCTATCTGGTTGGGATATGGCCTCTCGGTTTCTTTACAATCAAAACTACTTCGAGGTCAAAGACAGAAACAAAAACTAACCATTGAGATGGGAATACAGAAACTCTGATCGACGCCATCCGCAAAAAAGGCATCCGCGACCTGACGGTGGTGTCCAACAACGCCGGCGCGGGCGAATACGGACTGGCCAAGCTGACGTCGACGGGCCAGATCTCGCGGATGATCGTGTCGTTCATCGGCACCAACAAGCCGCTCGGCAAGCAGTACCACGACGGACAGGTGTCGATCGAGCTGTGTCCGCAGGGGACGATCGCGGAGCGGCTGCGGGCGGCGGGGGCGGGGATCCCGGCCTTCTTCACGGCGACGGGGGCGCGCACGCTGATCGAGACGGGCGGCATCCCCATGCGCCTGGGGCCCAAGGACCCGCAGACGGGGAAACACGCGGTCGTGGAGCCCGGGCGGGCGCGCGAGACGCGAACCTTCGACGGCCGCACGTATATGATGGAGACGGCGCTGCGGGGCGACGTGGCCATCGTGCGGGCCTGGAAGGCCGACGAGGCGGGCAACTGCATCTTCCGCACCACGACCAAGGCGTACGGCGTGCTGATGCCCAAGGCGGCGCGGCTGGCCATCGTCGAGGCCGAGAACATTGTCCCCGTCGGCGCCCTGGACCCGGACCACGTCGACCTGCCCGGCATCTACGTCGACCGCATCTGCCCGGCCACGTCGCCCAAGAACATCGAGAAGCTCGTCCTCGCCGCGCAGGCCGAGCAGGCCACGACGGCCGACGACCAGACCCAGAGTCCCGAGATTGCCCGGCGCAACCGCATCGCCCGCCGCGCGGCCAAGGAGCTCAAGGACGGGTACTACGTCAACCTGGGCGTGGGGATCCCGACGCTGGCGCCCTCGTTCCTTCCGGCCTCGACCAAGGTGTGGCTGCAGTCCGAGAACGGCATCATCGGGATGGGACCGTACCCGGAGTCGCGCGAGACGGCCGACCCGGACACGGTCAACGCGGGCAAGGAGCCCATCAAGCTGGTGCCGGGCGCGTCGACGTTCGACTCGGCCGAGTCGTTCGGCATGATCCGCGGCGGCCACATCGACGTGTCGATCCTGGGCGCGCTCCAAGTCTCGGCCCAGGGCGACCTGGCCAACTACATCATCCCAGGCAAGGCGTTCAACGGCATGGGCGGCGCCATGGACCTGGTCAGCAACCCGGACCAGACAAAGATCATCGTCTGCACCTACCACACCGACAAGGACGGCCAGAGCAAGATCGTCGACGAGTGTGACCTGCCCCTGACGGGAAAGGGCGTCGTCAGCATGATCATCACCGAGCTGGCCGTCTTCGAGGTCGACCGGCTCGGCGGCAAGGGCTTGACACTCAAGGAAACCGCAAAGGGCGTCACCGTCGACATGGTCAGGGAGAAGACGAGTGCAAAGTTCACCGTGGCAGACGACTTGGGCACGATGGATTGAGTCTCTCACAAACAAAAACCTCCTGGCATCTATCTTCATAAAGGAACATGGGGACATGGGAAATGAGTAGATTACGGCGAGAAAAGGGATATCCTATCTACATATTACCAAATAGATACACGTTTTTCTGTCGTTCTCACAGTTTTGCTTTGACAGAAAGGTTCTGCTTTGTGTTGGCGAACAAACGAATCACGGGCACTCCCGCCGGGTTCGTAACTTTGACCTCTTCTCTCAAAGTGCGTCAATTCTTCCCAGCAGCCACTGCAGGTGCCGATACGAGCTCCGCGGCTGGAACTGGGGTTGCATGTGGCCGCTGAGATAGGTCTCGGCCCACATCAGCCCACGCTCAAAGTGCTGCACGCCCATGACTCCTTGGTGGACGTCGAAGCCGTCGAAACCGCTGTCGGTGAAGACTTGCTGGTACTGGATGTCCGGGATGTTGATGATGATGGGCTTCGAAGGCGCCGTCTGGAAGCCGAGCTGCCCGTTCCATGTCATGTTCTGGATGGCGAGCATGGTCCCGTTCAAGAGGAGATCCATGTCTAGGGCACCATTGGACCTGATGACAAGTTAGCTCGCGGAAGGCCGATAGAATATGGCAGAGAATTATTCCTAGCCAGGAGAAACGTACACCAAGACACGATTTGTAGCTTCAATGACTCTGGGTAGCACGGCCTGAATTGGGTCGAGGCTCAAATCTCCCAGATCCTGTGGACCGCCTTCACCTACAAACACTGGTCCGGTGCATAGTGCCCAGTCACTGTCCACAGGAACATGCAAAGCTTTCTTCACGTCGGTGCGGTTGAAGTACGGCGGCAATCCAGGATATGAGTAGATTAGATCGCTGGGGAACCCGAGAGGGTCGGAGAGTAAGGGGCACTGTAGGTTCGGTTCGTAGACGTTGAAGCATGGATTGACGCTGTAAGCGCTGTCATACACGAGATCCCACAGGTCGCAGTCAGGGTCGGCCGTCGAATTGAGATAGAGGGGTGGTTGCGTGCCATTGGGCGGGAATTGCAAGAAGTCCTCGCGATACTGCGAGTAGCCACAGCTCTGGTCACGTTGGGCGAGAAGATCGACAAATGTGCTGTTGAACCCCATGATGTTGTTGTTCTGTTGAATCCACGGGTATATCGCGATGGCGTTGGAATAGTCGTAAGACCCGATGCACGGATCGTAGACCAAAGCACCTAAGACAAATGGTCAACTACCTGTCACGGAATCTCATGGTGGCCAGTACCTGAGAGATTAAAATGCGTAGTATCGTTCTGATCGAGAATTGCATTCGCAACATACGGGACGTATCGGCCAGCGTAGCTTTCACCCGTGACGTAAATCTTATAGTTGCTGATGTTGAAAATCGTCTAGGAGTTCTCAGTATGCATACCTCAGAGGCAATTTCGGGTCGATTTGAGTCTTACTTGGAAGTTGCGGAAGAACTCGATGAATTCAGCAGCAGGTTCTTCTTCATTCGTGGCGGTCGGCTCGCCTCGTGAAAACCCCACGCCGATCGGATATTCCACCCATAACATGTTGGTTAGATTTACCCATGAATAGGGGTTGATTCCCGGTGCGTATCTGCTTTTGCTTAGCATCAAGTATCTGTGTGTCCCTGGAGAGTGTTGGGTGGTGCAGAAATTCGCGCCCAACCGTTGTGGAACACATACTGTCCCCAAGACCATTGAATTCGGCCATTCTCTTGAAGAAACCCTTCGAGAGAGCTACAGCCTGCGATCTCAATCAATGGAACATCCCGCAACTAGTTTGCAGAGTCCTACCTGGACCGCCATTGAACCAAATAGTGATCTCTTCGACCGGTGGACCAACACGAGGCTGGTAGACGAAGAACATGCCACGGCTATCGTCGGACATGTTGAGTGGGATAACGCCCGAGTACATCTCGGTCATAAAGTTCTTTGGGATGTCGGGCAATGACTCAACATAGTATTCTATATTGCGCCATCGTTAGTCAAGCGCAATTGCTAAGGAAGGCAATAGGCGGGCTAGGGGTTTCAGACTCACTCTTGGTCGCATTGGTGTAATACTGTCGGTCTGCCACTGGGGTATCCCTGCCGTAGAGAGACATAGCTCGCATATCCTCCAACGCTCTTGGAGTAAAGCCTCGATTTTGAGAAACATCTCGACGATGCCCGGAAGCGGCGGACAGCAGGAAACTGCCCACCACCAGAAGGACGTCCCATCGGTTAAACAACTTGTTCATCATTTTGTGAAGAGGGTGAGCTTCGATGAGAGTTGACGTCCGAGTAAGGGTGCAGCATCAGCCAAATATGAACCCCGGCAAGCGAGCTATGTCATCATACCAGAATCCTGCCCTGTCCCAAGCTCTTGTGCAGCACAAACCTTCGCGAATAGCGCATGCTTAGAAGAACTCTGTTTGCTAGGATCGGCTCTCAGAGAAACACCAGTCACACCACTCCTCAGATAGGAGACTGAGAGCTCGCGAAAGCCATTGGCCAATGCAGCGTTGTATTGCCCGTTGGGCGGATCGCGGCAGCCTGAAGCCGAGACTGAACGTTTGCGGTTACGGATAACCTTGAGTTCGGCCCACGACTTGTGTTTGCTTAATCCTCAAACGACCTTCGCCGATTCTTGGCAGTGATGAGTGAGGCCTTCGAGTGCTGTTTGCCGTGTTCTCATTGCACAGACCCATCCTCTGAGGGTCCGCAGCGGGCTCCGCGACCTCGAGGAGGAAAAGGCGGAGAAGAACAAAGTAGAAGGCCTTGCGATTATCGATTGGCAGATAACAAGCTCGATAACCGAGGAGCGGAGCATATCACATCCTATACGCCAAGGTTGACCGGCAAGTCATGGATGTCACTGCATGCTAACCAGTCAAGTGGCATTTTACCTTTGAAGGAGGACAAGGGATCGAACAATGCAGTAGTTCTGACCATCCACGAGCGAGATACAACAAAGATAAGGAATACGTGGGGAAGGGTATCTGAGATTTGCCACAGGTCAGGTACCTTTGTTCTCAGTAATGATCCGAGATGTCCGAGAGTTTGAAGCCTCAGATATACGTCAAAATCTGAGAGTTGAGGCACATGGTCATTACAGCCCAGGACAAATGGTACCCCGCCCGCAATTGAGAAACTGAGGAGCTTTTCGATTCCTGCCATCGTACCAGACTGATCGCGGGGAGAGATCGCCGTCTTATCAGTAAGATGTTTGGGTGTCACGGTGACAACGAAGCTAAATGTGCAAAGCAAGTTTTTAGGTGACATTGAAAGCGGATGATGGCCGGGGATGATGTTGGGATTTAATTCAGGGATTTAATTCAGTCAGGTGACTGACTGTGTTCACGAGTCATGATCACTTGGCAAGTTGGGTTTGTTGAGTCAACATATTCAGCCTTGCCACCATCGCCTCAGCCTTGCCTGTAACGCCTCCCCTCATTTCCTTCTGCTATTTCACCAAGTCGAGAGTTGTCTCCAGCTGGGGTATCCGTCGTCGAAGACCCATATCCGACTTTCATCAATCGAAAGCTGTGAGTACAATTGCATCATTCCAGCTTTACCCCAAAGTATCTGAGGTACGTCGTGTCTCGTTCATCATTTCTCGTCGTTCAGCCAGGGTGCTTTGGCGTCACACCTTGCTGTTTCGGATTGCACCTCGAGGCTTGGAGGATGCGATGTGAAAAGGCCTCAGGACCGATCGCCGTTCCAATCTTGTTCAATCCGATATCCTCTCCACTACTCGTTGCGAAGCGGCCCAAGCTAGTCTGGAGGACGGTCATGCAGAGCTCGATGATCTGGTGTGGGGAAGAGATATGCTCCGACTGCAATGATGAAGTAGCAGGCACAGAGCAAGCTTCCTTCCAAGAAGTTTGACTTGCGATAGAGAATGAGCACGTTCACCAGAAAAGTTGTGGCGAAAAGTGCCACAGTCTCAAAGATACCAAAATACATGGTCATGTCCCTGTTCAGAGCCCAGCCCGCAATGACGATCAAAGGCGTGACAAATAAAGAGATCTGAACGGATGATCCAACAGAGACGCCGATGGCCAAGTCGAACTTGCCTTTCTGCAGATATCTGTTAGCCTCTACCAACCACACCAGCGTCCTTAGCGTGACCGCTTGGTTACATCCGTGTTTCGAGGGTAAAATGCGACTTACAGTGGCGACCGCGGTCGCAGTGATGAGCTCCGCACAATTTCCAGCAACTGGAAGTATAATGAGCCCGATGAATGCTTCCGAAAATGGTCCGGAGTCGACAATATCGTCGAGTGTGTTCACAAGGAACTCGGCGCAAAAGGCCACAAGTAAGGACGAGATAACGAGGAGTAAGCTAGAAGCTAGTTTCCCAATAACCAATGGTGGGTCCTCGAGCCTCACAATATCACTCGGACTGTCGACATTGGCGATGGAGCTCCCCAAAAGCAGACGTGGCAGACTGGATGTTGAACCTGCGTAGGACGAGCGGTGTGACCGTAACGGCTGCAAGCCAGCAGGACTCATGTGCCGCTGACTCGAATTGCCGGAATCCTGTCCTTGTCTACGCGCAGGAAATTGATAGATGGAGCTTCTTGGGTTCCGTATCTTGTCAGACGAAGTTTTCCACTCCTGGCCCTGTGTGTCGCCATCTTCATCCTCGTCAGATCTTTCGAAGTTCGGGTGTCCATTGATGTCGTCCGACTCCACTTGTGATTGTCCGGAATCATCGAACGCAGACATCTCCAAGCTGTCTTTGCGCACAAGGGGCGTGTTTTTATAGCCTCCGGCCTCTTCCTCATCTTGGAACCGAATCGAACGCGGAAATAACAATCCACTGGAAGCAGCAGCATCACCACTCATCCGTACAGAACCATTTATGCTGTCTGGACCGACAACGCGCACGGGTGATCTGTTGACAATAGTGTTCTTGATCTGCAGAAAGATGTAGAGTAAATAGATGGCCAACAAGGTCAATGCAGACGCTCGACTCAAGGTTAACACGGCTGGTCTAGCAGACTCTAGATCGTCAAAGGAGTGGACAAGGGCACTCTAAGATGCATCAGCCTCGGACAATGCCTAGCACTCTGTAATTGACTTGGTCCTTACAGGTATGAGCAAGCTGAAGACGGACACACTGAGGAGGCAGGCCAGAGCTTGTGCGTCCTCTATTCTGTGAGACTGCTCTTGACGATAAAAACTTCCGGCCAGGATTGCTAATCCCAAGACGAGCAAGAGGTTCACGAGGATCGAGCCCAAAAGAGAGGCTTGCACCACTTCATATTGCTTATGATAGAGGGCGGCACTTGAGTCGTCAGTCAGATACAGTCCAGGAACTGGAAGCGGTCAACATACAGACTGGTCGATGTTAGTTCTCGATGTTTGTGTAATGATACAGTGCTGGACTCACAAGATCACAATCTCAACCAGGTTTCCGAACGTCACATTGAGCAAGGCTCCAACCACGTCACCCGACTCTCGTGCAATGTTTTCCGTCGCGCAGGTGAGCAAGCTCGACAATGGGACTACCGCGATGACATTTGCTGTGAAAACCAGAACATGGTTCGCTCGAGCCAAGTAGCTGGCGATGGCCAACGGGACGAAAACCAAGAGGCTGTTAAGCCATGAATATCCCAGGATGGCGCGGACAGTGGCAAAAATCTCGACTACTGCTTGAGAGAAACAGTTGCGCTTCACCCCACGAGAGTCAGAGTAATGAGAGAAGTCCCGGTTGCGGTGACCAACAGCGCAGCCATGGGGGGCAGATGAGCGGTGAAGAAAGCGAGGGAAACGTCCTGTCAGTCGTCGTGTCAGTGCAAACGTCCTAGATTGTGCAAGGTCGACAGTTTCAACATACTCAGGACTCTGGATATGGGACTGGAACTAAAGACGGCATCAGAAAGTGGTCACAACGCTATTGTTCAGCAAACATGATTTACCTCGGAACCAGGCGGGAAGATTCTCCAGCATCATCTTCGCCGTTTAATTCTGAGTCTTCTTCCGCTGTGCTACCATTGAAGGAGCACCGTCGATCTGTGGTCATTCCTCGAAGACTGCACGTGCTGGTCCGTCAAACGGAGAGGAGTAGGATGAATGGGAATGGGGCAGGACAAAAGATCAAAGACGGATTGATATCAAGCCAAGAGGTTGACGAGTGTCAATGCGCTGTTCCGTCTTCCCGAACACGCATCCCACGCCCAATGCACACGAGCGGAGTTTGCTGTAGGGCGGCTTACAATTGGTGGCGGTTACGCAGCCTTCCCTTTTCCATCGGGATGGTGCCTCTGAACCCTGGTCGAAGGGCGTTGTTCCTGCGGACAATGCCACATTTAATAAATCTACATCTCCTCCCCTATTTGACTCAGCATGATCCTTGCCGGGCTTGGTAGGAAAAGGATGCTCAAGCACATACTTCTTCCTCTCTCTGGCAATCTTGATATGAGGTATTTTTCTGCTGAGTCTGGAAGACGCGTCTGACTATCTCAAGCCCCGTTTCAATGGTCCTGTCGATCCTCCAAGTCTATCCTGGGCCTCCAATGCCAGTGGAGACATCTTTGCATCACACCGGGAGATGGGCTATGGCTCAAGTCATCTCAATCAAGTCAGTCTTGATGGTCCTTTGGCAGAAACCCCAGATTGCGACTGTCGTGGAGGGAAGAATCCCCTCGACCAGTTCTGGGGAGCTAACAGGGGGTGCCACACGACGGATGATCTACCGAAGCTCTTGACAACTCGCCCTTGTCAACCATGTCGGCTAGTCCCCGAGCGCTCGCTTGATTTAGACGAACCTAATATTTCCCAGGGGCAAGGGGGAGACCCTTTCAGCGACTCTGGTCTAGTGGCCACAGCTACGCGCTGAGTAAAACCCTGACCGAGGGAAAAGTCAGCTAGTTGGGTAGGGACCAGGCCCTTGCATTTCATCTCCTAAAGTACCTAACGTTCCTGATAACTCGGCCTCTGATAAGCGCGGAATAAATGATCACCCCTCAATCGGATTTCCTTCGATAGTCTCCCCATAGAGGGGCGCTCATACATGTTGAAGCCCCCCCGGTTTACACTCTATAGACTTCGGATTCAGAGGCCTCAGATCGGCGACGAGGCTGTAACTGATAATCCGCCTCGAGATTCGCCGCCTCGACGCTGATGTGAAAAGTTGAGGCAAGGTAAGATGCATATCGACGACGGTACGCGTCCGTGATCTGATCAACCGGCCGTGATGGCACCGACGACGCCGAGGTGACTGGCCGAGTCTCAAGTCAGCATCTTTCTCCTAGGAGATAAACTCAAGCTGACGCACCTGTGATTCTCGAAACAGTGGTCATGGGCTTCGTTGCCGATGGCTCCCAGATGGTCCTTGATTGAAGACCACCACCAATATTCGGGGCCATATGCGTGAACCTTAGGAGGAGCGATTTCAAGCCGACTCTTAACGGTGCCTTTGTTAGGGGGCTTTGCACCTCAGACTTCGTTGCACGGTCTCTGTCCCGACCAGGAGCAGGCGAGAGCAGAAGCGAGGATAGAATCAAAGTGAAATCGTGGCCAACAGACCCTGCGTGAAAAAGCCGAAGAAATTGGTGTCGCACTTGGTTGCCGTTTCCCTTCAAAAGACCAGAAAATAAAGCAAGGTAACTGCAGCCAAGGCAAAGGGACACAGAAAGTATGCAGTTGCGATGGTGAGAATCAGGGCCATTTGTAGAAAAAGCACACTGTCGCTCATTTATGGGAATGGTGGATATTGTTCCCCCATGGAGTGCATTGGAATGTCTTTGTTATATGAGTGAATTTCGAACGCCAGCGAAACATCTCTAACTTTCCCTGTTTTCCTCCTGGGTTGTGCGCATTGCGTAGAGCAAGTGCGTAGTCGTTGCAAGTACAATTTGTATGAGCCATTTTTACCAAAAAGCAAATGACCCCCAAACGGGCAGCACATGCAAGCAGGTCGATCTCCACATGGATAGTGCTGGTCAGGGAAAATCAAGGACAAAGACAAATAGCTTTGCCCACATATATGTATTCCCGGGGTAGATGCCGAGTCTAGTCAATCAAAATGCCTGATTCCTGTCGCTTTGCCTGGATCACCTGCAGAATGGGGATGAGATTGACGACGGGAGGACAAGGTAAAGGGCAGGATTGAGGCGCAGTCAACGACAGGGGGGTTGAGCCATGGACGATCAAATCAGAAATCGCTCATTCTCCAACAAGTGCTGTCTGCTAGTTTGGTCGGTGGACACAGACGTGGGTGATAGAGCCATTAGGAGAAGCGCTGGGTAGTGCACTGGACTATTGGGAAGGACGATCAGGAGAGCTGGGACACAACGTGGGTTGAGGACGGTATTGTCACTCTCTAGTGGTGGTGCTTTTTTGAATAACTGAAGGGTGTCTGTGCAGCGTGCTATAACGTCAATTTCAATGAGTACGGAGTGATGGTATTGAAGAAACCCTTAGTTTTGTGATATTAGTTACACCATTTACCCAACGCCGATCATCTCACCGTGACCGTATATGTTCTGCCGATGGCCTTTTCAGATTATTTAGCAGTCAGGGCCACCTTCCATTCTGGAGCTTGAACGTCTTCTCTTCCTGACATGAAACGGACACTGTTTTGTAAGATTTTGCGCACAACTTCGATTTCATCCGTGTCTCTGGGTCCGTATATCATGAGGTATGTGTCGGCGACATGAGCTTTCTCGAATTTCAATTTTGCCGTCTTCGGTTTTGACAATCTGTGGCGTTCTCCCCAACCTTTCTCGATGATGAGTCGAGCGTCGGCCGGGGAAAGGTATAGATGAATTGAGTACTAATGGACCGCAAGATTAGCATCCAGCAGGGTTAGAAGTCGATAATCAAGTGCGTTAAGATGTGCAAGCGGTCGGAAGTCTTCGCTACTCACATCAGGATGGACGTGCCCACACTCGCCGCGAGCAGTGTAAGCCGTCGAGGACGGCTTGGGAGCTGATGGATCCTCGCTCGCGAGGATATCTTCGCGTATGAAAATGGCGGGATTGTGTTTCTCATATATAGAGAGGCGTTCTTCCAGTAGTTCGCTGTTTTGCACAACGACATTCTTGAACATGTTCGTGATGTACTGGAAACCAATCAGCGACCCAGCGGCTGGTCATCAATGTCACGATCATTCATACCGGTTTCATCTCATCAGGCGAATGCTGTGAGAGCTGACGATGTGGGATAATTCCCCCGACGGCAGCGCGCTCGCCCTTTCGCAATGGCAGATTTTTGATGTCTTCGTGTGCACCGTCGGCTGGGTAGTCTGAGACCTGGGTTGCGCCGCGCTTAGAAAGAGCAAATATTCGAATCATGGTCACGAATGCCCAGCCCCTGACATTGTATGGAACTCCGCCAGGTCCCAGAGCCAGGAAGGCATGATAATCTCGGATACACCAGACGAGCGCGCTCAATGCCAAAGTCGATGCGCCAGTGAGAACAGCAGCATTTGCAACGCGGTCTCGCGAGGCAATAGGGGGAAGACGCTTGATGTAGTCCATGTTAACTTGGGGGGCTCATCGACGCTTGGAGAGTGAAGTATAAGGATACAAGTAATTTGTAATTGATGGTGATTGCTGGTGAGAGTGAAAGTGCTGAGACATCACTGGAAATGACTCAGATCACTGAATTCGACATCGACGTTGATTTCGCGTAATGCTTGGCCGAAACCAAGCTACACCTACTACAGCAACAATGATATCCTCACCACTTATTTCACCTCACCCTTTGAGGAGTTCATGTCGCGAACAACCCTTGTTGTTTGCTGAATAGAGACACCCACATCCATCTGGCACCAACGGGGAACCACAAACCACCCGCTCAAAACGCCGAGAATGCGGGGTTGCTGGACTGCGCCCTTCATCTCGGAGGCCTCAGTCGAGCTGCTTCGGCCGAGAACAAGAACTCGCAGTCAGTCACTCACGAACCGAGTTCGAACTTGTGAATTGCGCGAACAAACATCACCCGATTAAACATGATCCCACGGCCCACCACAAAAGGCCCTGTGCCATCTCCAGCGGCTGAATTACACTCGTTGCTTGCATCCGCCGCTGAATGGAGACAAAGCTGCAACTCGTTATATCGACCCGAATTCCTGATGCACCGGTATACGAGCCTTCAAACTCAATGAGAAGCCCTTGTTTTGCAGTACGGAGTCGTATATGCCACGAATGATATGATCATATCGCCGACACCGCCCAGAGTCGTTAAGCTGGCCGGCTGACCTCTTCGGCCAACAGTCTGTGGCAGACCACCTCCTCACAAGTATGGACAAAGCACAGCTGGAACCGGCACGCGATGAAGTCTAATCCGCGGCTGAAGGAGAGGAACATAGCAGACAATGCGAGCCTCTCTAAGCGGGCGATCTGAACACCCTCCACTAGGCCGGCCAAGTCAGCTCAACGGTTTCCTATCCGAGAATGCGCTCTTCACTATTGGCTCCACATGAACCGTCTAGACCGAAGACGGCACCTGAGGCTTGTTCACACTTGCCAAATACAGGCTATCGAACTCGGGTTGGACTCATCCAGATCGTTGTGGACACTCCCTTGCGGTTGGGAGTTCCAACTGTTGGATAGAGTTGAGGCTAACGTTGATGCTGACTCTTCCTTTTCAGCCAGCCGTCTATTGGTACCTAACCAAATCGCTACAGCAAAGGCCGCCCATACACCTGAAGCCGTATCCGCCTCCTCGATGTTATTGGCATCAGCACCCTGCAAGCAAGCCCGATAGGAGGCAATGAACTGATTTATTATACTAGTTGCGGCCTCGGCAGCAGCTGTGCGCGGTCAAATCTGAACAGGGCGAGCGACTATTGCTTGATTGGCAAGGGATATCTGCACGAAAATTGCCTCGTGCAAACGAGCAAAGTGCACCACGTTGTCCATACCTAGTTCAGCTGCTACCATAACCTGAAATGTCGGCTGCGCTAGATCTTACGATGCGGTCTGGACGCAGGATCATGGCGTGCTCAGGTTATTTATCAGATTCAGCATGCCCACGACAACAAGTCAGTCTATCGAATGGCTTCAACCGCACCAG